GCTTTGAGGACAAGAGAATGTAAGTCAGCTTTGTGACGGAGATAAGCCTCGAGGTCGCGTGGCAGATGGAACTGGCTCTGTAGGTTACCCATTGTGTCTTCCGCGTCCGGTACAACGTGTTTCTTGCTTATAAATTATTAATAGAAATCTGCAGGAATGTACGCTTATCAAAAGCGAACAAGTCCATGACTTCAATCGCTACGTCTGCTTTATGGTTGCACTCAATTTAACCATTGCAAGCGCAATGCCCTCCGTACTACCTGTTTAAACATATTAACACTGTGCATTCTGCCCTCAGTATTTATATGATTCATCTGGCTCTCGCAATAAACAGCGACTGTTTCCCTAAACAACATTAACCGGCTGGCCTTTGCAGCTGAGATGCAAAGTATTGCCTGTGAGGCACGAAATAAAATGTTGTATACTATTCACGTTCCGGCCACTTTACCTCCAAAGAAATCTCCCAGGCACCCATCGGATAGGAAACTGAATGGACCCCACAGCCGCTCTGGACGCTAAGGAGGAAAATCCCACCCCTACAGAGAATCCATCCTTTGCAGTAGGATAATTACTTCTTGCAGACCTCAACATGGCATGTGCCCTATGTACAATAAATACTTGTTCTGTTCGTCCCATTTCTTGCCTCCTTGAGCTTGTTCTTCCTGTTCACGGATGCGCTGTATTTAATTGATGTTTGCTTTGCAACTATGGCTGTGTTGCTTACCATTTCTAGCTGTGTCAAGGAAGTGTCTAGTTGGATGTGTTGTATGCAGAAACTTGCGTCATTTCGAAACGGAAATCTATGCTCAGTAAAGGAGTTATTGACTATTCTAATTCCCTTAGTGCTTCAGGGATCTCCTTGTTCACTGGAATAACTTCGTTCTCAAACACGTTACTTCAAACTGTTTTCAAGGTGCCGCTACAGGACGTGCTGCTGAAATGCTTCAGGGTTTAACGTAACTCCAGGAATAACAAACGAATTGTTTTCGGTGCATGAATGTAATTTTTTGCAGCCACGGCTATTAAGTACCTAACTGTATGCAGCAAAGCCCTAAGCTACCAGCCAAAGAAATCGCACATTTTATAGAAAACAGAAGTCATTGTCGCTTTCGCAAGGCCTGAAGAAGGGAGTCCATACACTCACAGCCTCTCCTGTAGATTCGGGTTGGGTTCTATTTGTGAGGCGCGGCTCCGAGATATCGGTTATCCCAGCTGAGGACTTTCGTGGTTTTCCTCAGTCCCTTCACAAAAATATCAGGATATAACTCCGTTAGGAAGCAACCCCTTCCTTCCAGAAGTTTCCAATGCATTACTCACGAGACTGCCTATAATTCGGGATGTTTATCCTGGAAATGCACCTGTTGCCACGTGTAGGTGCGCTGTGCACGACGGGTTCTCGGGGCTACAGGAAATGCACGTGTTGCCACGTGTAGGTGCGCTGTGCACGACGGGTTCTCGGGGCTACAGAAAGTACAACTTTGTCGCTACTCCCACACGTTACACTTCACCGCTACACACACGCTAGCGTTCTCAGTCTTCACTAGCCCTATCCTTGCAACGGATTTATAACAATCTCACTGTAACGTCAACTCACGCATGAGGTCTTCTTTGCACAGGCCAATTCTTTCTTGCCATTCTGCAGCTGCCAATTCCTGCTCCCAAGCTCCTATCCCGGCAGGTTGGCGCCTCGAAACTCGACTCTGTGCTTCTCGAATGAACTCAATATTTATAACAATATTGAACATTGTAAGATATTTATTTTAGAATAATGAGTCTCGTAAATTTTGACTAGATCTTCTAGTTCCAATTTCGGTTCAATATTCTTACCATTATATTTTATAAGAACGTCATATATCCCTTAGTTATTTTACCTGTAGTCATGAATATTTTTCAGAATTCTCGTAAAATTCATATTTTTAAGCTTCCTCTCAGGGTTTGTCTGCATATCAGTATTGTACCGGTACGTATGTCGATGCCGGTCACAGTTGCCACGCGTTCTAAGGCATGAACTGGCTTCGCTCGCAGGAACGCTGGGATCGTGGGTTCGAACCCCACTCAAGGCATGCATATCTGTCTGTGTTTATTCTGTAGTTGTGTTTTCCTGTGTAGGTAACGGCCTTGCGATGGGCTGATCCCCAGTCCAAGGAGTCTTACCGATTGTCTTAAAGACTGAAACGAAACGAAGAGTTTCACGGATACACTATGCTCCAAGTGCAAGCAACGGGGATACATGAAGAAGATCTCCAAGTAGCAAGTCCTAACTTATATCCTATTACCAACTCTAAAATTCCCTCCTCTCACATTTATTGGGATATTTTCATTCTCGTTATATTCAGTAAATACATTTTCTCTCACCTGTTAGATTCGAGAGCATGATTCGGCCCAAGGTCCCCAATTTTAAAACACTTGTTGATTTTAAATATGTGAGAAAGTGCTGTATTTTGTGTCGTGGAGAAAGCAGTCTATACAAGGACAAACCATCTGTTCACCTCGCATGTTTGCAGTTTCATGTTTCGGTGTTACGAAACAAGGGCGATATGAGTACGGAATTTTTAGATTACAAATCTCTTTAGCCCTGCGGTCGCAGTTGAAGGAATGTGCAGCCTCTGCAATGAAGCTCAGTAGGAAATCACTTAACCATAATTAGTAGCCTTCACACGTGGCTTATCGTTAGGAATCTCGACTGTTAGCAGCCGGCAGTAACAGCTGTGCAGCGGCTGGTATCGGCTCCACAGTTGGGGCAGTTCCCTCTCAGAGTGAGCGCGCAGATGTCCTCATGTGTTCACATCTGCCGGTACAGTAATTCTAATAATTGTGAACTACTTACAGATCTGCCCATTGGGACACTGCCATGTATACGCATATCGAAATGGGAGTAAACTTTCACGCCGATAGGCAGTTTGATAGAGTTAAGCATGAAGATTCATGGTCAGCTCATGCACCATTCAGCACATCTGTCTCCTGAGCAGATCGGCTTCAGACGCGCTCCTGCGGGACACGTCGGGAAATTCTCGGTTCGATATTCGGTCAAGCCACTGAACGGACTGGTCTACAGGTAACGCTGTAGATTTGTATTCGGGGTGAGTGTCGGGTTCGAATCTCTGTTGGGATATCAGCTGTCCTATTCGTGGTTTCTTCTCAATTCGACTAGGCAGATTCAAGGACAGTACCTCGATTAGGCCTCTACAGCTTCTAGCCACATCCTCTCCAATTTATCTCTAATCTACCAGCCTACCATCCCAACACACTATAATTTCTATATAGAAAGCATCGTTAAATAATCACCCCTGCCGCTCACACACGCAACTGAAATATTTCTTTGTATTATTGAGAAATTTCCAAAGGAGTTCGTACGGTTTTCCAAGCAACAAGAGCAAGTTCGCTTTCGGTCCGATCGTGGTAATCAGCCCCAGAAAGAAACGCAACCCAGTGTCATTCGGCGCCAGGGAACCTCTGAAGCTCATTGGACGTTCTTATGTACCAACCAAGTCTGCGCCTGCAGAAACTTGTGCAACGCTGAAATTTCATTGAATATTTTCTTTTAGTTTCTTGTAATCTGTTCGTCTTGGGCGCCATGCCCCTTGAGACCCACGACCAGTAATTTTTTTACAACTGAGCCCTTGCGGTACTAGCCCTTATGTAACGTTCTCTCTGACGAGAAGATGGGGTTGTCTCTTCTGATTGTTCTTGGCCTCTCGCTAAGCTTACGTATCTAGCATGTTATTGTAAATTCTTCCTTTTGCACTGTATACAAGTTCTCTGTCAGTACAGGCTTTACGGAGCAGATCGTCTCTAACATACATATCTTATGCTACAACGGCAGCTTAGTAACTTGAACGGTCGTGAGCTTTACCACCGCCAAGTTTAGGCCTCTTATATTTCTGTGTCTGGCTTCGCCTTTTCCTGTACAGCGATTATGTTCATTCTCACGAATCAGTATGACTTCTGCTTGTCACATGACCATGTACACACGGAAGATGTGTGCACCGGTGTGCACCTCGGAAAATTTCCAGTGGTGCGGAGAAACTTGTTTTGTAGGCGCTGTAATTTTAAGAGGTGGGTGTCTGCCGCTAATTCCCAGTCGGGACAAGCGTATGTCATTACCGATCTGATCAGTGCCTCATGGAAGGTCAGTTTAATAGGCTTAACGCTTATTTTTTGTTTACAGTGGCAGGCCCCTAATCATCCTCTTTTGCCTAAAGTAATACAAATTTGTACTACGCTTTAAGACAAATTATACCTAACATAACATGTAACTGCCCACACCCTCATACAACGACTTGAGAAAAGATTATTTTGTCTGGCAAGTCATCCAAACCGATATGCTTACTTCGTGTTATAAAAAGGCAATTATATAAGTTTGTCCTGTATTTAAATAATCAAGCGCCATGCCACGAAGACGTATTGGAGAGTGGAGGTATAGTTCCATCATTATTGATCTTTGTACGAGATAGAGTTGAGTTGTCAGCTTCACTCCACGGCCGCTTTACCCCGGAGAAGGAGCCCACTTTAACCTTTTTATAACCTGTAGCCCGTCTCTATACAGACTGAGCTATCCATGCTCTTTTCTTTTTAATTTAACTTTGCAGTTATATTTTGAAATAATACTCAGGCCGTCTGTTAATTTCTTGCTTAATTTCGATACTCGGCCGCGCCACAGCTCAAGCGGTTAGTCGCTGGCACTAACAAGCAGGCTGGCCGCGCCATAGCTCAAGCGGTTAGTCGCTGGCACTAACAAGCAGGCTGGCCGCGCCATAGCTCAAGCGGTTAGTCGCCGGCTTCCCAATCCCGGGTCTGCTCAAGTGGGATTTGTGGTGGACACAGTGGCGCTGGGGCAGGTTTTCTCCGAGTACTTCGGTTTCCCCTGCCAATTTTCATTCCACCAATTGCTGCACAGTCACCCTCACCTATCATCTGGGGCTGGTACAGGCCAGAAGTGGCCTCAGTACAAGGGACTTAGTCCCATCCCACTAGCAGTAACAAAAAACTTCGATACTCACCGGACTGTGTACTTGGACGGTTGAAGGTGGCCTAGCCGTATCGCCCAGGGGCAGCTGATGGTCTGGAGGCGTTGTCTGGTGTACAAACCTTTGCACTGGTGAGAACGCCTGTTTTGAAGTGATCCAGCTGAAACCCATGGCCCCTCCTCTGGGCGGAAGGGCCACTGGAGTAGCGCAGGGCGGTCGGTGATGTTGAGTCCATGGAGAAGGCGGGACTATGGGGGACAGACGGGGCATTCTTTGTGCAAGGCCTCTTGAAGGTTTGCAGTCTGACACGGATCTCTGACCGTTGAGTTGCAACTGCTTGTCCCTTCCAGAGAGCCATACATTTCTCCCACGCCTGTGAGCCTTTAAGAAGTTCTCACCCGCTGTCATAACGTCGGCCTGATGTTCTGGTTCAATATTTGGGATCGTATCTTTCATATTTTGCGGGTGTTGTGGTAACAGGTCTTTTCGATCCTCTGGGCGCGTTGCGTGAGTCATGTAACCATTAATTTTTCCGTCTCTGATGAGGTAGCCGGGTGCAATTTGTCCGCTATAGTTGTAGTTGTTAGTGCTTATAGGCATGAGAGATGGGAGAGGTTTTGGCCACTGCAATAAACGCTGTAAATGCAGATCATACTGTTCGGAATTTTCTTCGCGAAAGCTCCTACTTTCATTTCTCAACGGTGACTCCACAATTACCCTCGTATCTTGTCCGTATTCGGAACATAAATTATTTGGAGAGATTATTTTGCTGTTTCCTTTATGAACGATATGTAAATCGCTATTTGAGGTCAACTTTAACCCGTATTGTGACAAGGAGTCGCCTTCTGCACACGGCACTATCGTGTCTCTACTATATTCCCTATCTGCCAGTGGCATCTTTAGTGACTTGCAGCTGTGATTAGCGGCCGAAGGAGCTGCTCTGTGATTAGTGTTTAAATTTCCTACCACGTCTGTATTATCATAAGACGATTTATCATGAAGTGGTTTCTCCGAATACGGTAAGACAACATTTCCTGAAGTGCATTCAGCAGACATCTTATTTTCTTCTATTGAATTTGGAATAATCCTCGTGTTACGGCCACTGTTTAATACCCTGACACCTTTGCTTGATGATCCTTCACATTCTGTACAGCCCTTTGTTTTAGTTCCTTCTTGGGTTCTTTCTCCTTCCGACAACCCATCTTGAAGCGATGAAGTGTTTAAGCTAACCTTACAGGAATTTCTATTGCTTTCTGCAGGATTTTGCCCACTAATCTGCGTGTAAGATGAATTGTCTACGGAGCACTTGAAAACACGACTTTTTCTGTCCATCGTAACAGGTTTAAAGCTCTGTTTATTGGATGAATCAGTCTGATTGGTGGCATCGTCGTGGCATGCAGACTGCTTGAAGTCGCCAGTCAGATCATAAGGGTTAATGTAACAAGCGTCTATGTCAGAAGTGATGAGGTGATTTTGGAAATTTGGAAGATTGGTCACTTTGATGTCCAGTGCTGGAGAACAGGCGGGGATGCAGACAACACTGTCGCTTTCAGATCCTTTCTGTAGCTGGGCCACATCCGTCAGAACTTTGATGTGCAGAGCCTCAGCTGCTTGCAGAAAGGAGGACAGCCGGCGTCTGGGAACTGCGACTGCGCCAGTGTACATGAAGTCCAGGAGCCACTGCATGTCTTCAGGGTGGATGTCGGGCAGGATGATGGTCACGTGATCAGAAGCCAAGTGCTCCACCAACACTTGCTGTGAAACATAATATTATATATCAAGAAGGCGGGTCATTATTTTAAAAATTATTAATGGGCAAACACTTAGCATCGTCGTGCAATGCGATGTGACTATAATAGATCCCTAATTAGTGACTTCATTTGTATTACGTGAGCCTATAACTTCAACTGTTCGTGACCATAAGCTGTACCCAATACATGACCAAGGTTTTACACGTTTCTTGATTGATGATGAGTGTAGCAATGAACGGGACTCCCGGAAGGATGAACAACCGATTAAGATCCCAGGCCAAGTGCCATGGAAATGTATGTGAAATTTATAGATAGCTGATAATCGTACAGTATTCACTGTTTTAGCCTTTTGAAAGCTGAATTTCTTCTGAATAACTGGCACAAATTCTGCTAGAACCTGGGATACACAGAGCGAGTTCTACTCCGCTGCAGAGGTCAACAGGTTAATACAGACTTCAATGTGAGAGCCATATGGAACACACGAATCCACTCTGTGGGCAGAGCGCACAATTCTACTACGTTAAAGCAGGTTGTATGAAGAGGCTTTAAAATGTTAATATTGCCACGTGTAGGGGTGACTTATAAGACGGGGTTTGGAGTGGATGGTTGCATTTATTGCGCCTTATAGGTACAGTGTCACAACTCTGGACTACAGGCAGTACAGCGCTATCGCTATTCTGCACACGTCCCAGTTCACCGTTACACGCACACTGTGGTTTTCAGTCTTCATTAGTCGCATCCTGGCAACGGATTTATTACACTCTGTCACTTCAAATTACATATGAATTCTTATTTTCACAGCCTAATTAATTTCTTGCCATTATTCTGTAGCTTCCAACTCCGAGAACTCGATTCACTCCGAGCTCATATCCCGGCAGGCTGGCGTCCCTGCTGTATACTTCTCCTCTGCTTATACTGTTCTCTACCCCGTCGCGTCTTCTCAATGCGCCCTTTATAACCCCTCTGCACGGACCACACAGAAACCAGCCTGCATCGTTGACGAGGAATATTTACAGCGCCGTTGCCTAGCAGTAGATGTTCCATTGTCGCGCGCTTTAGCCCTTATGGCAATGTGTTTACCAAGCCGTTACCTAGCAATGTATACACACTTCACAATATTTACCTAAATTATTTGCCCAAACAAAACAAATAAACCTCCTGGTGTGCTTGTTATGATTATGAGTCTTGTAGAGGGACGCTCGTATTCTCTTCAACTGAGGACTCTCGCGACTCAAACTACGTCTCCTCTCCACAGACTGACAACTGACTTGGTCGCCCCAGTTGTCTCCCAGATAACCCCTCGGCACGGACCGCGCACAAAATAGCATTCAATCCCGTAACCTAACCGTTTCCGTGAGATGTGTTCGCGTCACGGAGCAGCGGGTTGCCTAAATATCTAGGCTTGTATTCGGGAGGCGTTATATTCGAACCTTGACCGAGAAACCTTGTATTCCGACTGAGGATTTTTGTGGCTTCTGGCTTCTGGCAAATGCTTGGATATTATGTCTAACAGGCCACGACCGCTTCCTTCTGTGTCCTTTCCAGTTCACCATTCATCCTACCATCCCACATTATGTGTTCTCAATACAGAAACGTCTTTAAGTAATCCAAGGAATAATAATATTAATAATAATAATAATAATAATAATAATAATAATAAAGTAAATAAAGTAAAGATACCCCTGTAACAGGCCGTGAAGGCCCATAGGGTTGTGAGACGTTGAGGTTCCCACATTTTCTAGACAATCGGCTCAAAGATGGCGGTAAGGTTGTCAGCCTTACGCGCCGGCCGCGCTTTACCCCCAGGAAAA